TTAATATCCATATTTTCTCTAACATGAGGTCTGTGATTTTTTTAAGACCCTGAATTGGTGGATAAAAAGTTTATTAATTATTTTTATTTAATTATAAATTATAGGTTTAAACCTGTATTAGGTTTAATATAATAATTTCCATTTAAAGGATTAGAGTAAGGTTTATTCAGAACTGTAGAATGTGTCATGTAAGAAATAGCATAATAGTTGATACTAAATTTTTATAGATGTCACCTATTAAAGGGGACCTGAAAATTTATGACAGGAAATTTAGGAAAGCCAAAGACCAACTAAGTGAATTAAGTGTACCTCAGGAAATGTGATAGATGCAAAAACAAAAAACCAAAAAACTGAGAACCTAATGTGTTAAATGACTTGTGATGAAAGACATTTATGAATGGCTGACCTATTCTACCTACTAAATAGAACTCAAAAAGCAATGAATTTTTAGTGTTTTCAGTACTATTCAGAAGAAGTGTTTCTAATCCTTTTGTAACTAAATTCCTACACTGGTAATAGACATCTTAGGAAACAAGAGCCATCCTTAATTCTTTGGCTTCTGGATAAAGGTAACAAATTTATCATATGTATTTTTTCTTCCATCTCTCTACAGATTTCAGCAAAATAATCTTATAGTAATAAATGGAAAGGGAAATCTTATAATAATAAATGGAAAGAAAGGGGAATAAGCAGATGTGATATTTCAATGAATTTTTAAGTGACAGAAAGTAGCAATGAGAAAAATATCTCTTGGGATACCCAGGAAAGGATTGCAATGGACGAGAGTGCTGATATTCCTGGCAGGGACACAAGGCCCCAAAGGAGCCAATTCTCAAAGAGAGGGAGAGGAAGAATCAGGGAAGAGTGCAGAATATAGGGGTATTAACCAAAATGAAAAAGTCTTTCTATAATACATCTAAGCTAGCCACTTCATATACATCCTTCTCTCTTCCCCATCTCAAGACTCAGATCAAGATGACCTAGCATTTTACCCCAATGAAACCTTGTTCATTCTTCTCTAGAAAGAGATAGATTTAGGGCTATTTAATTGACTATTAGCATCCCAGAGAAAAGTCCTCATTTTTGTTTGGGACAAGTAGCATAAAGACAAGCTACCCATATAACTACATAGTAGGCTTTTCTGTTCCCCCAGGAGAATGTAATAGTGTGGACCCATATATACAAACACAATAGCATAAGAAATTGATACTTGCTACCTAAAACAGGCAACCCCAAGGCATCAGATCTGATAAACCAGCAGCATAAAAGAGAAAAGCCAGTATAAGAAAAAACTGAATATAAAAAATAAAATACTGAATAACTGACTCCAGAAGAAATGTCATTCATTCAAGTTACAAAAAACAAACAAAAAATAAAGAGCTCATGGACATGAAACATGATTGCAAGAGTAACAGAAACATTAATTATGAATTATTAACGTCCCAGGACATAGACTAGAAAAAGAGATAGAAAATACAAAAAAAAAAAAAAAGAGAGATTAATTAGAGAGGTGTGGTATCCAATTAGAAAGAGTTTCATAAAAATGCTGGGGAGAAAATTGGGGGAATAGACAATTAAAGAAACTATACAAGAAAATTTCTCTGACCTGAAGGGGGCATATATCTTCAAATTCAAAGGATCTCCTAAGTTTATTACAGAATTAATAAAAAAAATCTACATGCAGTAACATCCTTATAAAATTTAGGGATAGGAAGAATAATGATCTTAAAAAATTACCAGGAAGAAAATACCAGAAAAGGAACAGGAGTCAGACTGGTTGCAGACTTCTCATCAGCAATGTTAGATGATATGCAACAAAGAACTAATACCTTCAGCAATCAGGTATGAATGTAAAATGAAAATACTTTCTGACCTGCAAAGACCGAGAAAGCTTACTGCCAATTATTACATGTTTGGTAGATACTTGAATCTGTACAAAAAAATGTGAGAGTTGCTTTTGCTTCACATCCTCACCAAAACTTGTTGTCTTTTGTCTTTTTGATATAAGCCACCCTGACAGGTATGAGGTGATTTCTCACTGTGACTTTTATTTGCATTGTTATGATAAGTAGTGATGTTCAGCTTTTTTTCCCATATACCTGATGGCCATTTGTATGTCTTCATTGGAGATATGTCTATTTAGGTCTTTTGCTCATTTTTCAACTGGGTTGTTTGTTTTCATTTGCTTGCTACTTAATCGTTACATATTTTAGATATTAACCCCTTATCAGATTTATAGTTTGCAAACATTTCCTTCCATTCTGTAGGCTTTTTACTCTTACACAGTGTTAAACAATTACATACTTTGTAGATAGTAGAAATAAGGTCATGGGAGCTATTGTATAGCATGGTGACTGTAGTTAATGACAATGTGGTGTCTCCTTGAAAAATGCAAAAAGAGTGGATGTTAAATGTTCTCACCACAAAGATAAAAACTGTATGAGGTAATACATTTGTTCATTAGCTATATTTAACTATTCCACAGTATATATACATTTTAAAACATTATGCTGTACACAATATATAATACATTTTTTAAAAAATGTGGTGTGAAAATCAGGAGGAGACAAAGCCATAGATATAGTGGGAAAATATCCATCATCCTACATAAATCCCAAGATGCCAGTAAAACAATCCATCAATATTGAGAGAGAATGTGAGTGCACTCAAAGTAAAAATGTCTTCAAGGAGAAAAAAAAAAAAAAAGAACTCAACGTGGTACTAGTTATCTATTACTGCAAAACTAATCACCCCTAACTCAGTAGCTTAAAACAGCACACCCTTACTACTACACAGAAATCCAGGAATAGTTTAACTGAATTCTCTGTCTCAGAGTCTCACTCAAGGCTGCAATCAAAATGTTGGGTGAGGGCTGGAGTCTCAGCTGACAGCTCAGTGCAGGAAGGATCTACTTCCAAGCTCACATGATTGTTGGCAGAATTTAGTTCCTTGAGGAATATTGTACCGAGGGCCTCAGTTACTAGTGGGCTGTTTGCTAAAGGCTTTGTTTAGTGCTTTGGCACTGGGACCTAAACAACATGGCAGCACGCTTCATAAAGTGTTCGAGACAAGAAGACAATAAAGAGAGTCTGTTAGCAAGATAGAAATTACAATGCTGTGTAATTTAGTCACGGCTATGACATCTTTGCCATATGTCATCTTTGCCATATTCAATTGATTAGAAGCATATCACTAGGTAGGCCCACACTCAAGGAGAGGAGTTAAACACATGGGCATACTACCAGGGCATGGGATTCATTGGATGCTATCAGAGTTTTCCTGCCATATAAGCAAAAGATAGAATGCCTAATGATGGAGACAGCAAAAAATCTGTAAGAAATTGGAAGTCTACGAAGGCAGTATTATTTAGAAGAGCTGATGAAGGATTAGATCAGAACACTCATTTAATATGAATGGTCTCCTTTTGTGAGATATAAATGCAACCATAGCACATCATTTGGTGCTGTAGTGGATGATATTTACATAGTTATAATAATATAAATGTTATTTATGAATTTTTAACTTTATCTGGAAGACTTAACTATGGCTATAACTCAGAACTTACATGTTTTCAATCTTGACAATACACAAAGTGAAGGTACGGCTCTCTGAAGTTTGGGCAGAGTAAGAGGGAGGGGGAGGGGAAGAGAAGTTGAGTCTAAAGTTGGTGGAACAAGAAATGTTGACTTAAGTATACCACTTAAAAGCAGAAAAGTGACTAACAGAACTAAAATCATCAAAATTTGGGGAAAGGAGGAGATAATGGTGAAGATAATGAATTCAAGGTAAAACTTCATCTAAGTAGACAGCCAAAAGATTTTTTTTTCTTTTGAGATGGAGTTTCACTGTTGTTGCCCAGGCTGGAGTGCAATGGGGCCATCTCAGCTTACTGCAGTCTCCGCCTTCCAGGTTCAAGCGATTCTCCTCCCTCAGCCTCCCAAGTAGCTGGGATTGCAGGCATGTGCCACCAGGCCCAGCTAATTTTGTATTTTTAGCAGAGACAGGGATTCACCACGTTGTTCAGGCTGGTCTTGAACTCCTGACCTTAGGTGATCTGCTTGCCTCAACCTCCCAAAGTTCTGTAATTATAGGCATGAGCCACCACCCGTGGCCCCAAAATATATCTTAAATTGAAAAAAAACCATGAACATAGATGCATAAGCAAGTAGCATATTATTTAGAGGCACAGAAGTATGCACCACCAGAAGGGTTACAACTAAACATGGTGGTTGGCAAACTAAGGTAAGAAACCTCTGCTTGTTATTACATATCCTCCTATACTTATACTCTGCTATTGTAATATTATTTTTCTCACATTCATATAGAAATATAGTTTATAAAATCTCTTTATTTGTACAGCAGTCTCAAAATTACCTGTGAACTGCGTGTGGTGGCTCACGTTTGTAAACACAGCACTATGGGAGGCCAAGGCAGGTGGATCATCTGAGGTCAGGAGTTCGAGACCAGCTGGCCAACATGATGAAACCCCATCTCTACTAAAATACAAAAATTAGCTGGGCACGGTGAGGCACGCCTGTAATTCCAGCTACTTGGGAGGCTGAGACATGAGAATTGCTTGAACGCAGGAGGTAGAAGTTGTAGTGAGCCGAGAGTATGCTACAGCATTCCAGCCTGGACAACAGAGTGAGACTCTGTCTCAAAAAAATAAAAATTAAAAAAAGTTACCTGTTGATCTGCTTAGGGAAAAACATGAACTAAAAAGACATGACAATCTGATCTACTGGAAGATTATATTATTCACTGAAAGTTAATTATTAGTAAAATCAATGATTATATTAATCATTTCTACTCTCAACCCAGATAAGTTTAGTAGAGTTACCAGAACAAGAGCACCCCTACCAAAAGAATGAAATTGAGCTGCTTGACACACACAGTTAGGACCAGATCTTCACTCCAGTGGCTAGTCTAAGATGCAGAGACTCTGAGGTCAGGTTGAGCCTCAACACCTTTCTCTTCTTTTTCCAACTGTGATCCTCCCTTTTTGCAAGTGACACAGACCATGTCTTATGGCCACTAGAAATAGGACAGAAGTGACTGAATTTGTCTTACTGGGCTTGTCCAGCTGGCCAGGGATGCAGCCAGTTATTTTTGGTATTATCCTTGTCATGTACCTGGTTGCAGTTATGGGCAATGCCCTTTTAGTCACTGTTGCTCGATCAGACCCCAAGCTTCAGACCCCCATGTATTTCCTGCTCAGCCAGCTTTCCTTTATTGACATTTTTCTGACAACCATCACTGTTCCTCAGATGCTGGTGCACACACTGTCTGTGAATCAGACTATCTCCTTTAACTGCTGCATAATCCAGCTATTCTTCTTCATGGTTGTGGGCAGCATGGAAGGCCACTTGCTGGCTGCCATGGCATATGATCGCTATGTTGCCATCTGTGATCCCTTAAGATACTCTGCCATCGTCAGCCATCGCCTCTGTCTGCGCATAACATTGACCTCATGGGTGGTTGTCAGCCTCAACAGCCTCCTTTGTAGTGTGTTGGTAAGTCGCTTAACTTTCTGTGGCAACCAGGTCACCCACTTCTTCTGTGATATTACTCCCCTGCTGCAGCTCTCCTGTACCCAACCAGTGGTCAATGAAATGCTGATATTCACTGAGGGTGTAGCTGTGGTGGTCAGCCCCTTCTTCTTCATTTTGGGTTCTTATGCCTGCATTGGTGTTGCAATGGCCCACATGCACTCAGTTGCTGCCCTGCGCAAAGCTCTGTCCACTTGTGGCTCCCACATCCTGGTTGTGGTGCTCCTGTATGGCTCTGTGATCCGCATGTACCTCCGACCATCCTCCAGCTACAACTTGTACCAGGATCGCCAAGTAGCCGTCTTCTATACAGTAGTTACCCCTATGCTAAATCCACTAATCTACAGCCTCAGGAACCAGGAGGTTAAAGGAGCTCTTCTAAGGCTTTTTAGGAAGCTCTGCATCTCAGAAAACTTTCAACCTTGTTCCCAGGCAAACAGGGAATGGCGGCACATCTCCTAATGTCTAGGAGTTAAGATCTAGCCTGAAAATGCCTCAAATAGATGGGGTATTACCCTTAAAAATTGATGTGAGTCACATTTCTGGTTAAATCCCTTTCAGTTGGATTTGGGGAAGAAGCAAGATAAATGGTTCAGCTTCCTGTTGTCTGATGTAGAATCTCGTAACATCAAAACTGAATGTGTATATATATATGTAAAATTGTACTTTAGGTTCTGGGGCACATGTGCAGATCATGCAGGATTGTTGCATAGATACACACATGACAATGTGGTTTTCTGCCTCCATTCCCCCGTCACCTACATCTGGCATTTCTCCCCATGTTGTCCCTCCCCGACCTCCCCACTTCCCCGCTGTCCCTCCCTTGGCCCCCTCAACAGATCCCAGTGTTTGATGCTCCCCTCCCTGTGTCCATGTGTTCTCATTGTTCAACACCCACCTATGAGTGAGAACATGCGGTGTTTGATTTTCTGTTCTTGTGTTAGTTTGCTGAGAATGATGGTTTCCAGATTCATCCATGTCCCTACAAAGGACACAAACTCATTATTACTGAAAAGTTATTTTTAAATCACCAAGCCTAAACCTCTAATCTTTAGGTCCAATATGGAGCATGGATGACTACTAAGCAAAATGATAAGAAATTATTATGGTTTGCTTAGCTTTGATCATTTTAGTAATGGCAGGGCATGCACTATCTTCCAGAGAGAAGTCAAAGTGAGTTACAATACCGTTACACAGATGAGTGAGTTCTGAATAAATCATGGAATAGCCTAAGTCTCTCTTAAAATTATAATGTTTTTAGTCGTGTATTTCACCAATGTCTTACTCACAGTAACAGTAATCAGCTCAATATTTCTAGTGACTGAATTATTTCATCTGTATCTTTTTGTCATCCCAGAAAAGATAGCATAGGTTACTAATAATAGAGACTGAAGAAGAGTCTGCACAGTGGCGCTAATACGAGGAGCAGGTAGTCAGATTAGAGTTGCATAGGAGGTCAAACTGTTTGAATGTACTTATGTTTTAGACGTAATGTGTAAGGGGAAAAGAATAATCAATAATGCATTGTGAAAACATGTGGAATCATGTTTTTATGCCATTTCTTTATATATGGAAGACTGTGGATGGTAGAGAATGTACAGATTTGGTTGAGGGGAAAATTTAATAACTCTCTATTGGCCATGTTAATTTTTTGAAATGTATTAGATATCTAAATGGAAATGTTTTCTAGATAGTTCAACATAATCCTTGAGGCTCATGGAGAGGTCCTGTCAGAATATAGAAATGTCAGAGGCAACAAAAGGTTGACAGTCCTTGAAGCCATGGAACTGGATAAAATCAGCTGGTAAGGGAATATAGAAAAGAGAAGAGAACTATAGGCAGAGCCCTGAGATGAGTAAGCATGCCAACATTCAGAGGTCTAGAAGAGGAGATAGCAAAGAAAACTTGAGATGTATCCAATGGTAGGAAGAAAGAAGGTAAGTCTAGCAAGTCTGAATTCTAAAAAAGAGTATTTCCAGGGTGGAGGACTGGTCATTCTATCACGTATAGTTGCAAGGTCATTAATGAGAACGGATAATTAATTAGTAGGTTTGGCAAAATGTAAATTATGGAAACTTTGATAAGAACAGTTAAGTATTAGGAGAAATACTGCAATTATAGTCATTTTGTGATAAAATTGCAAAAGAGGAAGTAGTGGTTGTGATAATAGACACTTTTTAAAAATAATACTTTAAGTTCTGGGATACATGTATAGAATGTGTAGGTTTGTTACTAGGTATACATGTGCCATGGTGATTTTCTGCACCCATCAACCTGTCATTTAAATTAGGTGTTTTTCCTAATGCTATTTCTCTCCTAGTCCCCCATGCCCCATAGGGCCCCGGTGTGTGATGTTCCCCTCCCTGTGTTGTCATTGTTCAACTCCCACTTATGAGTGAGAACATGCAGTGTTTGGTTTTCTGTTCTTGTGTTAGTTTGCTGAAAATGATGGTTTCCGGCTTCATCCATCCCTGCAAAGGACATTAACTCATCCCTTTTTATGGCTGCATAGTATTCCCCAGCATATATGTGCCACATTTTCTTTATCCAGTCTATCATTGTTGGGCATTTGGGTTGGTTCCAAGTCTTTGCTATTGTGAATAGTGCTGCAATAAACATACATGTGCATGTGTCTTTATAGTAGAATGATTTATAATCCTTTTGGTATATATCCAGTAATGGGCTTGGATTTGACATACATAAATCCCTGGGTTCAATATACATAATAGATGTTATCCATCACATAAACAGAATCAATGACAAAAACCACATGATTATCTCAATAGATGCAGAAAAAGCCTTCAATAAAATTCAACAGCCCTTATGCTAAAATCACTCAATAAACTAGGTATTGATGGAATGTATCTCAAATAATAAGAGCTATTTATGACAAACCCACAATATCATACTTAATGGGAAAAAGCTGGAAGCATTCCCTTTGAAAACCAACACAACACAAGGATGCCTTCTCTCACCACTCCTATTCAACATAGTATTGGAAGTTCTGGCCAGGGCAATCAGGCAAGAGAAAGATAAAAGGTATTCATATAGGAAGAGAGGAAGTCAAATTATCTCTGTTTGCAGATAACATGATTGTATATTTAGAAAACTCCATTGTCTGAGCCCCAAAACTCCTTAAGCTGATAGGCAACTTCAGCAAAGTCTCAGGATACAAAATCAATGTGCAAAAATCACAAGCATTCCTATACACTAATAATAGACAAACAGAGAGCCCAATCTTGAGTGAACTCCCATTCACAATTGCTACAAAGAGAATAAAATACCTAGGAATACATCTTACAAGGGATGTGAAGGACCTCTTCAAAGAGAACTACAAACCACTGCTCAAGGAAAATAAGAGAGGACACAAACAAATGGAAAAACATTACATCCTCATGGATAGGAAGGATCAAAATCATGAAAATGGCCATACTGCCCAAGGTAATTTATAAATTCAATGCTATTCCCATCAAACTACCATTGACTTGCTTCATAGAATTAGAAAAAAATACTTTAAATTTCATATGGAATGAAAAAAGAGCCCATAAAGCCAAGACAATCCGAAGCAAAAAGAACAAAGCTGGAGGCATCGTGCTGTCTGACTTCAAACTATACTACAATGCTGCAGTAACCAAAACAGCATAGTACTGGTACCAAAACAGATAGATAGACTAATGAAACAGAACAGATTCCTCAGAAATAACACCACATATCTACTACCATTTGATCTTTGACAAACCTGACAAAAACAAGCAATGGGGAAAGGATTCCCTATTTAATGAATGGTCTTAGGAAAACTGGCTAGCCATATGCAGAACACTAAAACTGGACCCCTTCTTTACACCTTATACAAAAATTAACTCTAGATGGATTAAAGACTTAAACTTAAGACCTAAACCCATAAAAATCCTAGAAGAATCTCTGGGACACAGCAACAGCATTCAGGACATAGGCATGGTTAAACAGTTCATAACTAAAACACCAAAAGCAATGGCAAGAAAAGCCAAAATTGACAAATGGGATCTAATTAAAATAAAGAGCTTCTGCACAGCCAAAGAAACTATCATGAGAGTGAACAGGCAGCCTACAGAATAGGAGAAAATTTTTGCAATCTATCCATCTGACAAAGGACTAATATCCAGAATCTACTAGGAACCTAAACAAGTTTACAAGAAGAAAACAAAGAACCCCATCAAAAAGCGAGCAAAGGATATAAACAGACACTTTTCAAAAGAAGGCATTTACGTGGCCAAGAAACATATTTTAAAAAGCTCATAATCACTGGTCATTAGAGAACTGCAAATTAAAACCACAATGAGATACCATCTCATGCCAGTTAGAATGGTGATCATTAAAATGTCAGGAGACAAGATGCTGGATAGGATGTGGAGAAATAGGAATGCTTTTTGACTGTTGGTGGGAGTGTAAATTAGCTCAACCATTGTGGGAGAAGACAGTGTGGCAATTCCCCAAGGATCTAGAAATAGAAATACCATTTCATCCAGCAATCCTATTACTGGGTATATACCCAAAGGATTATAAATCATTCTACTATAAAGACACATGCACACGTATGTTTATTGCAGCACTATTCACAATAGCAAAGACTTGGAACCAACCCAAATGCCCAACAATGATAGACTGGATAAAGAAAATGTGACATATATACACCATGAAATGCTATGTAGCCATAAAAAAGATGAGTTCGTGTCCTTTGTAGGGACCTGAATGAAGCTGGAAACCATCATTTTCAGCAAACTAACACAGGAACAGAAAACCAAACACAGCATGTCCTCACTCATAAGTGGAAGTTGAACAATGAGAACATATGGGGACAAGGAGGGGAACATTACACATGGGGGCCTGTTGGGGGGCAGTGAGGGACAAGAGGAGGGATAGCATTAGGAGAAATACCTAATATAGATGACGAGTTGATGTGTCCAGAAAACCACCATGGCACATGTACACCTATGTAACAAACCTGCACATTCTGCATATGTATCTGAGAACTTAAAGTATAATAATAATGATGAAAAGTAAAAAGTTGTCACTACAAAATTTTATTGGCTGGATTCTTATATCAGCTCTATCTAGCAAAAGTAATCTTGTTCCAGGAAGTCTTGTGAGAAAGGCTAAGAAGACTTTAGTTCCAGGTAACAACTATTTACTGAATTTGCCAAATTAGTGGCCAGCATAAATTATGAGATGCTACCAACTTGTTGATATCGTCAATTTTATACTACTCCTTCTAAGGCCAATCATGGTGGCTCATGCCTGTAATCCCAGCACTTTGGGAGGCTGAGGTGGATGGGAAAAAAAATAAAAAATAAAATGTGTTATAAACACATGATGGAATATTCTTCATCTTTAAGAATGAAGGAAATTTTGTGATATGTGATAACATTGATATAACTTGAGGGTATCATGCTAAATGAAATAAGACCTTCACAGAAAGACAAATG